TCTTTCAGCTGTCATTCAGCAGTCCTTCAGCAGTCTTTCAGCTATCTTTCAGCTATCTTTCAGCTGTCATTCAGCAGTCCTTCAGCTGTCATTCAGCAGTCTTTCAGCTATCTTTCAACAGTCTTTCAACAGTCTTTCAGCTGTCATTCAGCAGTCTTTCAGCTATCTTTCAACAGTCTTTCAGCTATCATTCAGCAGTCTTTAAGCTGTCATTCAGCAGTCAGTAAGACACTACATTTTTACAGAAAAAGTTGGTTTAGGTCTCTAAAAGTTTCTGTAAACATGCAAATGCAGAAAAACAAATAAAAATTGCTTCTGGGTGGAAAGATAAAAGAAGTCGAGGTTCGGTTGTGAAATCAATTTGTCCTTTCTTCTTCTCCACCAGATCTTTTTTTATTTTATCTTCTCCAGACACAAAACAACCTGTGACATTTTTACACCCGAGCATTTGAGAACGTCAGACAATAAACTTTTGTCATTTTGAAAAACACTTCTTTGAAGTCGGGGCCAGAGAGATGGAAAAAAGACAAGACGGAAGAGAAGAGATTTGGACGGAGGAGAGGAGCGCGGTCAACAACCAAAAGATAAACATGCGCCTCGTCCCGCTAAATATTTGTTTGGACCCAGACTCAAGCCACAAGAATCTTTACATCAGTCCATGAGCTCACGGTCAGTTTCTCTTTCAGCTCTGAACAGCTGTTCACATCTGGAGCCGTTCCAAACATTTTGTTATCGCCTGCTCCAAAAACAGGTGAAGGCAGCCTGCATCTGTGCCTATATTTGTCTGTTAGCAAAATATCTCATGAACCACTGGATAAATTTCAATGAAACTTGCAGAAAATAGTCCCTGGATACTCAGTAAAAACTGTTTACCTTTTGACATCACCTCAGTTTAAGATGGCCGTCACGGCCAACTGAGATTAAATTACAAAAAATGGCTACAGCTCAGTCCGTTTTATAGATATGGAGCTACACTCTGGTGTGGAAGAAGCTGAGAGTCATTCCCAACACATATTCTAAGTGCTTCTAATTGATAATAAATAAAACTAACTAAATAAATAAATAAATAAAAATAAAACTTCAACATTAACTGTTGATGTCTACCCTGCTCGTCTGTTAGCAAAATATCTCATGAACCACCGGCTGGATTTTAATGAAACTGTCGGGCAGTAATAACTGGATGTACGTCTACAACTGCTTAATCTTTGAAGTCAATGAAATTCAATATGGCCGCCACAGCTAATCAATATTAACCAAACTGAAACATGGCTACAAGGCGGCTAAATTCAGAGATATTGAGCCAAGATTTGTAGTGGTTGTAGCTGAGAGTCATTCCTAACACAAACTTTGAGCACTAACTAATTGTAGAAGATCTGTTTTGAAAACTTTGCCCTTAACTATTAAAGTCAACCGTTTTTGTCTGTTAGCAAAACATCTCATGAAACAAAGGTCTGATTTTAATAAAACTTTCAGGAAGTATTCAATGGATGTCCCTCTTTAGCTGATTACATCTTACAGCTGATCCCATTCAAGATGGCTACCACAGCTAATGAAACTTCACAAACACAAAAATGGGTGTAACTCGGTCAGATTTACAGATATGCAGCTAAAGTTTGGTGTGGTAGTAGCCGAGAGTCATTCACAACCCAAGCTGAAGAAAAACACAAAGCTAAAACTCTGGCGTGACGGACAGCAGGGGATATTCATCAAGGAACGTTGGGTTTTTGTTTCCAACATGTTAGCAGCTAAAAACAGTGAGTCCACTCCCAAACTCTTCCTCATTCCTCTTCGGCTCCGCTGGGATCGGCTGTCAGAAATGAAGGTCAGGAGCGACGCACCAATCAGATTCCACGCTCTCAAACGCCGACTTCTGATTGGCCCGTGGAGAATAGATCATTTTCTAGGGTCTGCAGGAGACACACCCACCTCTCCGGTCCCACAGGCCGTGGTTTCGTTCTGCCACCGCCGTGCAGATGGGGAGTAACGAGACCACAGCTGAGGCACACCGAGCCTCCATGTGCACGTCTCCACTTGTGACACATCCTGTTGAGCGAGACGGTGTGTGCGCGCACGTGCGCGGTTCACTACGAACGAGCAGGATTTTCAGGAAACGCCGTGACAAACATTCATTCACTGGTTAAGCGGCTGCAACCCTGTTTGTGCTTTACTACATTTCCCAGAATGCATCACAATTTTTTTTGTTGTTTCCTCAAAACAAGTTGTGTTTAGCTCAAGTGTCAGGAAAGGTTTGAATCAGCAGGAGTGGAACAGAAACATTTACTGCAGCAGCTACGGTTAAAGTTATTGTACGAGTGTTTATGAAGCATTCACACTATTGTGAGCCTTTTTTTCTTACGTATATTTTTTCAGCGAGTTTATCATCCCGCAATTTTCAAGCTACATCTACAACTCATAAATTAAAACGTTCAGCTCTTTCAGGACAATCCTGCTATGACCTTTGGTATTGGTGCAGCTTCAGCTTTGTTTACAGTAGCCGCTAGCTACTTCGCCGTTCGTTTTTTTGCAGACTCGCTCTATCGCGGTTTTTCAAAGATTGGACATGACACACAATTGGCTGATTGATGGATGATCTGCATCATCAGCGTGGAATTTTTATTTAAAATAAACTATTTTAAATTAATTACGTCAACCATGTCTGTCTGTTAGCAAAATATCTCTTGAACTACTGGACGGATTTTGATGAAACCTTCCAAAAGTAATCAATGGATGGCTGACTACAACTGAGTAAAGTTTGAAGTTGCCCAGTCCAAGATGGCTGCCACAGCCAAATTACCTTACTTTACATAAAAACAGGTTTAAGACAGTTTTACAGCTGTTGTGTTAAAATTTGGTGTGGTAGTGGCTGAGAGTCATCCCCAACACAAACTCTGATCTGCTCAGTTTTAATCTTTCAGGTTTTCATTCAGTAAAACATTTTGATCCATGAAGTTACCATGAAAACGTTTCTCCAAACAGTGAAGTCAGCTCTCTGAGAGTCTCGGTGTTTTCCACTGAAAAAGCTTAAAGAGTCCCCCCGGTGGGGAGTTTAATGACGGACTCCTGCAGTCCTCAGGGTTCAGAGCTGGGACC